ACCTTTTTCTTATTTTAAGGCACCTGGGTTATGTATTATTTGTTATAATAACTGCAGAGAGCAATCTACCCTCTAAGTCAGACGGCTACCGAGACATTGCAGGGCCAGAAACGCTGGCATAGGGGCCTAAGTATATGCAAAGACACCTGTCATCTGGCTAGGGTGCATACCATCACCTAGAGTCATCCGTAAGCTCATGTGTCTCTTTGATTATGGCAGGCTGAATGGTGACCCCTCAAATATCCAAGTCTCTGGTCAGGTGCGGAGGCTCGTGTCTGTACTATTAGCACTCAGGGGGCAGAGGCAAGAGGATGGGGATTTCACACCAGCCTGGGCTGTGTCGTGAGACCCTTGCATCCCGAACAAAGAACTGGGGGTATGGTGGCTCACGCCTTTAATCCCAGCACTTGTGAGGCAGAGGCAGGAGGATCTGTGTGAGTTCAAGGCCAGCCTGATCTACTTGTGAGTTCTACCCAGGACTACACAGTGAGACCTTGTCTCAGCATTCCCCCCAAGCACCAGTGAAGGAGCTGGAGAGACCGGAGTGGTGGAGAGCACTCTGCTCTTGTGCAGGATCCAGGTTTGGTACCCAGCACCCACACTACCTACTTCACAGTTACCTGTAACGCCAGTGTTAGGGGATACGACACCGCCGCCCTCCCATGGTTTGCATAAACTCATTTGGCACACATGGACACATACGTAAAGATGAATGTGAAAACAAAGCCAGGTGTGTGGCCTATGTCTGCAAGTCTGTAATCCCATGACTTGGAGGTTGGAGGATCAAGGGTTCATGCTCATCTTTGGTCATATGGAGAGTTTGAAGCTATCCTGTGCTACAAGAGGCTCTGTCTCAAAAAGAAAAAATTAGCAAAAATCTAAACAAAAAGCTGGGCAGTGGTGGCACTCACCTTTAATCCCAGTACAGGAGAGACAGAGACAAGCAGATCTCAGAGTTTGAGGCCAGAGTTCCAGGACAGTCAGGGTTACACAGAGAAACCCTGTTTCAAGAAACAAAAACAAAACAAAACAAAGCTGGTGTTTATTTCAGATGGTGAGGTGGTTCAGTGGGCAAAGATGTTTGCTGCCAAGACTGAAACTCTGAGTTCTAACCTTAGAATCCGCATGACAGAAGGAACTGACATCCATGTTTATATATATACACCCACACCCACACTGGACATATTAATATATCTATTATTATATACATCTTATTATATGCATCATACATACTATGTAATATATAATTACATAATTATGCTATACAACCATGCAATATATTCACCTATAATTATATAATTATATTCACATATAATTATAAGTATATATTACTCATATATTATTGTGTGGGAAGCTGGGCGTTGGTGGCGCACGCCTTTAATCCCAGCACTCTGGGGGCAGAGGCAGAGGGATCTCTGTGAATTCAAAGGCCAGCCTGGTCTATATAGTGAGTTCTGGGCCAGCTAGAGTAGTTGCACAGAGAAATCATATCTCAAAACAAAACAAAACAAAACAAAACAGCAACAACAACAAAAAACTCCAAATAGTGTTGTGGGCTATTTTACACGGTGTGAATATGTATTGCTGTGCTTGGTGTAACAGCGGGCAGGAGTAGGTGGGCAGGTGGGATTTCTGGGGAAAGAAAGGAAGAGGAGGAGGAGACGGAGGAGGAATCTAGGCTTGCTGGAGATGACAGAAGACACAGTGGAAATAGGAGGTAATGGCATGTGATAGAACACAGATTAATATAAATGGGCTAATTTAAGTTATAAAAGCTAGTTAGGAGCAAGCCTTGGCTATAGGCCAAACTTTCATTACTAGTAAGAAGTCTCCATGTCATTCATTATTTGAGGCTGGCTGGAGGAACAGAAAAAGATTTACTACATGTGGTGCCCCATGTGGGGCATGTAAATCTGCATAGGACCTGAGAAAGCTAAAAAATAAAGTTCTTAGTAGGCTTGGTTCTTGCAGTGTATAGCGGTATGGCTCTTGTGCGTGTGTGTGTGTGTGTGTGTGTGTGTGTGTGTGATTTTATGTACATTGGTATTTCTCCTGCATGTGTGTCTGTGTGAGAGTGACAGATCCCCCTGGAACTGGAGTTACAGACAGTTGTGAGCTGCCACGTGGGTACTGGAAATTGAACCTGGCTCATTTGAAAGAGCAGTCAGTGCTCTTAACCACTGAGCTATCTCTCCAGCCCTGGCGTAGCTCCTTTAAGAGGCCCTGCTACCAAGCACTTGAACGGGGGTTTATGGGTGGCAGGTGGTGGGAAACTAAGTAGAACTGGGGCAGATAGACCCGCTCCAGGCCAGTCCATAGGCATGGGCTCTGCTCTCACCGACCTGAAGGGAGCTGAGCTGGCTGCCTGGCAGTGTGCTAAGCAGAACCGCATGGTGGAGGGACTAGCTGGTAGTTAGCTGCTTAAGGTTTGGCTTATACAGTCAGAGAACGCTACAAGTGTTCATCTGCAGGTGCTTAAAAGGTTAGATCCAGACAGAGAAAAAAACTTCTAAACAGGTATAGTATGCTTCAAAATTTGTTTAGATGTTAAAGAAAAGAAAATGGGTATAGACAGTCATAAAAGTAAGTAGTTTAAAAATAGTAAACTCTTTAAAGAGAGACAAAGTAATATAAAAGGAAAAGGCCATGTAAGAAAGGGAATTACACAGGATGTCTGCACCCTGCATGGTGTTTTGTTGACTTTGAATTTTTTGAATGCTCGTGAGTGAACGGTGGCTGCTGAGCCACTGGATTATGGAAGGAACTGCTGAATTAAACCAGCCTGTACACTTTAGACATATCTTAGCTTCAGAATGGAAGTTGAGAAATATGTTGCATTGGGGGAGAGGTTATGCCTTTGTTTATACTAAAAAAAAAAAGCTATGGATTTTAGCATGGTGTTGGTGGCGCACGCCTTTAGTCCCAGCACTCAGGAGGCAGAGGCAGGAGGATCTCTGTGAGTTCTAGGCCAGCCTGGTCTACAGAGTGAGTTCCAGGACAGGCTCCAAAGCTATGCAGCTCTTTTTAAAGTGTAATGTATAGTTCTAGTCCTTAAAGGTTATTATTACAATTAAGATAATTAAGAAATGTAGGATAGTAGTTAGTCATCTATAACAGTCAAACTTGCAGTCATATTAGGTAAGTTTTTAAGGTCAAACAGGGATATATTTTAGATAGATGGTCTTCAAACACTTCAGAGACCTACAGAATATGACATTTAAGATGTTTTAATAAGCTGGGTGGGGGTGGTGCACGCTTTTAATCCCAGCACTAGGGAGGCAGAGGCAGGTGGATCTCAGTGAGTTTGAGTCCAGCCTGGTGTACAAAGTGAGCCAGTATTGTTACACAGAGAAACCATGTCTTGAAAAACCATAAAAAATGTTTTAATAAAAAGGCTTTTCATGACTGTGAGGCGTGTCTGTTCCTGGCAGCACCAGTTTATTTCAAACGAAGATGACAGGCATGGAAAAACCTCCATATGTAGCTTGCTTTCATTTGTGGTAAAGTTAGCCGCTGGGCAAAGAAACTGTCCTTCCCTTGACTGTGACAGTATACGGTACAAACTGGACACAAAAGAAGGCAACTTCTGAACTTTGCCAAGACCAGGTAGGATGGTCCTTCAAAATTCCTGCTATGGAAAAGCTAGGCCCATAGGCCGAAGATGGAGGTGCCAGAGTTGTAGAGGAACCTTAGGTGGCTGTCCAGGCGGTCAGCTGTCTGTCATTTCTTTAGTCTTGGAAGTTGCGTGCTCAGCACTTCCTGTTTGCTCAGGGTAATATTTTATCCTTCTTGAGCCTTTGATGTGGATTGAATTCTAGATAGTTTCCTTGTCACCCAATTCATGAGATACTTACATGAGATACAAAGTTTATAAGTTTTATGAGAAACAAAAGCTTAGTTGTCTATCTAAAAAGATATTTTTAGGATGATAATACAAGTTATGATAGAAAACTATTTAGGTATAAAATGTTGGACTCACTAAGATAGGATAGAAATGCAGTACTTTCTCTGAATTTGCCAAATACATATGGACTAAACATTGTGAATGTGATTCTTACTTGGAAACTGTTCTTAATGCATATAGTTTTACAATGTTAGACTTAAAACTTTTCCTTTTTATTTAGATAAAAGGAGGACTATTGTGGGATTTTTGTGCACTGTGTGAAGGGGTATTGCTGTGATTGGTGTAGAAAGAAGCTAAATGACCAGTAGCTGGGAAGGTGGTACAGGCAGAATTTCTGGGGAGAAAAAAGGAAGGGGATGAGGAATCTAGAGATTCCAGAGAGGAAACAGGAGGTGTAAGAAGGAAGAGAAGTAATGTCACATGATAGAATATAGATTAATACAAATGCGTTAATTTAAGTTATAGAAACTAGTTAGGAACAAGCCTAAGCTATAGGTTGAGTGTTCATAATTAATAAGAAGCTTGCATGTAATTATTTGGGTGCTGGCTGGTGAAACAGAAGAAGACTTACTACATATCATATACATTATATATTATAATATATTTTAAATGTATCATATATTATAATATATAAGCATTACATTACACACATAACATGTAAATATATTATAAATATAGTATAATCATACAACATAATTATATACCATATACATTAATTACATACACAAATATTTACATACACATAAATGTTTCTTTAAAGCCCAAACACCAGGACTGGAGAGATGGCTCAGCCATTAAAGGCTAGGCTCACAACCAAAAAGAAAAAAAAGCCCAAACACCAGTCAGCTGAGGTTCCCACAGTGACTCACAAATTTCAGAGTCCCTCAGAAACCCCCACAGCCAGAACACTCTGGAACCCTACAGCATCCCCCAGGGAAGATGTCACAATGTTTCAGTAACTCATTTTACCGCCAAAGCCCAAACCAGTCCCAGCCCTCTCCCCCAACAGTGTTCCGACATAGTCACTGAGTGCCCGGGTGAGAACTCACAGGCACACTTCCGCCACACCTGGTTAGGACAGATCCAAAGCAAGGGGTATGGTACAAAAATAGTTTATTACAAAAGAAATCTGACCCAAACCTAATAATTTACATCGTGATCAGTGCTGCCAGACCCCTCTGCTCCTCCTGGTTCCTCGGGGTGGAGGATGGCAGGGGAGGGGTTGTCTTTCAGTTCCTCCACTTCTGGGATGGAACAAAGAATCAATCAGCTAGTGGATTCCAGACAGGGTACTTGGTGCCTGAGAATTGAATGGGGAGCTACTAGTCCTGGGCAAGGGGTGAGATCAGGGCCATCTGTGCTCAGTAGTAGGTGCGTGTGCCTGGTGCAAAACCTGGTTCTGGAGATTGGGGGGAAGCAGAACAAGTCCTCACAGGTTCCAGAAGAGAGGCCCCCACAGGGCAGGGACGCCCCTCCTCACGAGTCCGGGTCTGCCCCCCCATCCGTCTCAGCTGCCTCCTGGAGCTGGGGAAGGGGGTACCGGCTGGCCAGGGCTCCGGAGGACCCCTGGAAAGGGCAGGAAGGCAGGTGGAGATGCAGTCGGGAGGAAGAAGTTTTGGGGGGTCACTGGGAAGCCAGGAGGATCCTTCGGGGGAGACACTGAGGGTGAGGAGCTTGGTGAGGACTGCAAACCTGTGGAGGGAAGAGGGACCAGGGTTAGCGCAGGGAGAAGCCCGCTGAGCTGGCCCCAGGGTCCTGAAGGTCCCCGTGCAGACTCTCACCATTGGAGCTCACACGGCTGCTGCTCTCAGGAGAAGTGGTGGCACTTTGGTCTGGGGATGGGTCGGGCTGTGACCCTGAAGAGGTCCGAGAGGCCTTTCCCCTTAGGATATCAATGACCTGTGGGAAAACGACGGTCACCCAAGGCTATTCCAACCTTTATCCATTCTGTCTTTCCCCTCTCCCCACCTTCCTCCCTGCTGGCTTCCTTCCTTCCTTTCTTCTTCCTTCCTTCCTCCCTTCCTTCCTTTCTTCTTCCTTCCTTCCCTCTCTCCCTTCCTCAACACCCACTCGCAAACGTGTCCAGGTGAGGATATGCAGGCGCTTCCTTTGCTTTGTGACTCAGTTTCCCCTCACCGCCTCCCTTCCAAGCACCTAAGCTCACGATCCCCAACCCCAGGCCCGTGCACTCACCCTGCGGCTGCGCGCCACCATGAGGGGCGTGTCATTGTGACAGTTCTTGAGGCCGCTGTCAGCCCCGCTGCGCACCAGCGTGCGCACCAGAGGCAAGAGCCCGCGGCCAGAGGCCGAATGCAGAGCGGAGCTGCCCGAGTACATCTGAGCGTTCACGTTGGCGCCACGCTGTGGGATAGGACATTCCGGTCAGGGGCCACGAGGGCTAGTGGCCTCACCCGGCCTGGGTCAGCTGGGGAAGGGACAGGTGGTCACCACTGGAGCCCACATGGGTGATCAGAGTCTTGGCAGGGGGCTGGGGTCAAAGATGATGTAGGCCCAGCACTTGGAGAGTGAATGCGGGAAGATCAAGAGCTCGAGGTTAACCTGAGCTACAAAGTGAGTTCAAGTCCAGCCTCAGCTACGTGGGATTGTGGTCCAGTCATTCCGGGGCACAATCAGGAAGGAAAGGTTGCGGATAGTAGATGGGATGTGGACAGAAGGACAGAAGGACAAGGTGAAAGCTAGAAGCAGGATGGCAAGGTCATCCCAGGGAAAAGCCTAGGCCGGTAGGGGCGACAGTCGCTGTCTTTTGCCCTCCACAATATGGCCAACCAAATCTAATTTTAAAAAGGGGCTGGGCATGATGGCACACCCCTTTAATCCCAGAAGCAGAGGCAGGCAGAGCTCTATGAGTTCAAGTCCAGCTTGGTCCACAAACTGTGTTCCCAGGCAGCCATGTGGTGAGACCGTATTCAGAAACAAAACAAAATGAAACAAAAATTAAAAAATAAACTTGAGGGATGAAGAAATGCCTCATTGGTTAAGAGCATTGACGGCTCTTCCAGAGGACAGGGTTAGATTCCCAGCACCCACATGGCAGCTCACAGCCATCCATGTAACTACAGTTCTAGGGTATCTGATGCCCTCTCCTGGCCTCAGAGGGCACTGCACACACCTGGCACACAGACCTGTATGCAGGCAAACCAGCCATGAACAAAGAAAACAAAAACAAAAAAACCTAACTCAGTATGCCTTTAATCCCACTACTCTGGAGGAGGCAGAAGCAAGCAGATATCCGAGTTTGAGGCCAGCCTGGTCTTCATAATAAGTTGTAGGCTAGCCGACTCTACGTAGTGAGACCCTTTCTCAAAAAGAAAAGAAGAGAAGAGAAAGAAAGAAAAAGAAAGAACCTTGAATTTGCAAGTGAGATTTTGAAGGGAAGCATCAGAGCCAGAGACAGAGCAGAAACCAGAGTATGAACTGGAAAATGGGATCTTCGCCAGGAGCGGAGGTGACAGCTGGAGGCAGGGGGCGGGGTGGAGATGGGGGAGAAGCCAAAGATGGGTACGAACCAACAGCAACAGCTGCACCATGCTCAGACTGTTGTTCTCTACCGCGTGGATGAGTGGGGAGCGGCCGCTCTTGATGTCCTGCGGGAGGGCGGGTCTCTCAGTCACGCCCCTCTGCAGGCTCTGAGCATCCCTCCCTCTGGTCCAGCCTGTAGAGCTTTAGAGCCTTGAACCCTCAGCCAATACCCCCGCCCTTCGCCAGCTCCGCCTCCTAGGCCACACCTCCTCGGGCCAGGCCACGCCCCACCGCCCGTCCCCCCTGGCTCACCACTGCATCGATGTCAGCGCCTCGCTCCAGGAGCAGCAGAACGGCCTCCTGGCACCCGGTGTTCACGGCCACGTGCAGGGCCGTGAGCCCTGAGAGAAGGGAAACCGCAGTCAGGCCCCGGCCTGAGTTTGGACGGTGTCAATCTCGCCGTGTCCCCTCTGGGGACTCACCTTCGTAATTGCGAGCCTCCAGGTCCACGGAGCCCGGGGCTGCATTGTCCAGCAGGGCCTGCAGGCAGCTAGGGCTGCGGTGCTCACACGCCAGGTGGGCTGCGGTCTGGCCATGGCGGTCCAGGGCCATGGGGCTGGCACCAGCGGTCACCAGGAGCCGGACCATATCCGGTAATGCGGTGATCACAGCCAGGTGGAGTGGAGTCTGGGGAACAGTGACCGTGAGGGACCAGTCTTCCTGCGCATGCACCTAGGGTTTTCTGAGTCTACTAATGGGAGCCTCTGCCCTGGCTTCCAATTTAAGAGTCGGAGACCGCTGCGTCTACCTCGATGGAGCGAGATAGGGTGTCAAGGTGCCCATGCTGACCCCAAGACTGGCTCTACAGATGAGGATGACCTCGATTCCTGCTGTCCCTGCCTCCCGACTGCTGAGACCAAAGGACTCAGCCCTGGTGCTGGTTTGCTTTGTGTGCATGTGTGAGTGTGTGCGCCACGGTGCGGGGGTGGAGGACAATGGACAACGCTTGGCAGCAAGCTCCATTACCTGCAGAGCCATCTTACAGCCCGAACATTCATTCATTCTTCATTCATTCAGTGCCTTGCTGTACAGACCAGGCTAGCCTCAAGCTTTCCATTGTTTGTGTTCAGTTTAACACTGGGTGACAGATAATATGCTACCATGTCCAGGTTCACTGCCCAGTCTCTCTTCCCAGGACCCCTCCTCCCCAGGAACAAGAACCCGGAAGCCCCAATGCCAGGTTCCCAGCCCACCTCACCTGCCGCAGGTTGTTGTGGACATCTAATTCCCGGCCTCCCTGCTGGAAGAGGATGATTAACCGGAGGGCAACTGCCTTGTTGTTCTGGACCACAGCAATGTGGAGAGGCCTGAGGGAACACAGGAGCAATCCCTGGATTAGGGGCTGCTCACTGGACTCTTGACAGTGCTGGGCTGTGGGCAGCGCTTTGGAAGGATTTTCAGAGTACAGGCTTTTTGTTTTGTTTTCCGGGACAGGGTTTCTCGCTCTGAAGACCAGGCTGACCTCGAACTCAGAGATCTGCCTGCCTCTGCCTCCCGAGTGCTGGGTTTAAAGGTTTGCACCACCACCACCTGGATGAGCACAGCCATTTATAACCATCCCGGGACAGCCTGGATTGGTTTCCTCTGGCATCGTTATAGCTCCCATCCCCACCCCAGCTTCCACCTGCCCCGTTAGTCACTCACATCACAGGCAGAGGAACAGTTTCAGATATATCTTCCCTCTAAAACCCTCAGTTGATCACAGGCCCCATGTGAGTTATTAAGAAACTGGATAGTTTTTGGTTTTAGTGGAGCTAGGAACAAAACACTTCTTCCACTAGCTAAGCAAGGGCTACCACTGAGCCCCACCCCAGCCCCTCACTGGGGGATTCTAGGCAGGGGCTCTACCACTGAGCCACACCCCAGCCCCTCACTGGGGGATTCTAGGCAGGGGCTCTACCAGCGAACCACACCCCCAGCCTTCACATGATTTTTTTTTTTCTGACAGGGTTTTACTATATAACTCAGGTTGTCTCTGATCTCACTAACTGGCTGAAGCTATCTTCAACTTCATGGTTGTTAGTATTCAGACATCTGTACTGGCCTGTCCTTGGGGTTCTGACAGGATACACCCTCAGCTGCAGCCACCAAGCGCACCACCTGTGCACATTCACTATGTTCCCCTTTTAAAAGGGCCCCACCCACCGTCCAGTCTTCTCTTTATTTCTCTCCCTCTCCCCCCCCTGCTGCCCCTGTCTCCGGAGGCCAGATTCCACCTCCCTTCCCCCTTTCTATGATCCCTTTCCCTAATAAAAATCTCCTCTGCTTGACCCTGTCCCGTGGCGTCTGTCTCTCGCCCACGACAATTTTCTTAAGTTACAGCGGTAGTAATCGAATCCTCTCTCCTGAATGCTAGGATCACAGGTTTGAAACATCACAAACTGAGTGAGTGAGCTTCAGTTTAGCTACTTAGCTCAGGGTGGCTTCAAATGCAGCTGTCCTGCCTCAGGCCTCCAAGGCTAAGTTATTTTGTCATCTTCTACCATTTCCTTTGACAGCGACTCCACGCTCTCTGTGCCTGAGTCACACAGCCTTGTCAGGGTACTTGCCTAGGTTCTCCAGTGTGCCTGGAACGGTTTCCCTGGGTATGTGCCCCTGCTGGCAGACCCCTGCCCTCTCTCCTAACCCCTGCCACATCGGCCTCCACGTGGCTCTGTGGCTCATTGTGCACTAGTTTGCAAGCATGTGCTGTCTGAGTCCATCAGAATGTCTGTTTGGGGACAGCTTTCCCTGCCCGGAGCCCAGGGTGTACCTGACGGCAGGTGCGCAGTGACTCAGTACATCCTAATGGTCACCCCGGACGGACGGACGCTGCGTGACCCTTCCCCAGCCTTCATCTGTGAAATGGGCAGTGAACTCTGTCAGGTCTCTGCCATAGATCGGGTTCAGCATCCAGCTGAGGATGCCAGAGTTTCCCGTGCAGCACAGGCTTTGACCAAAAGGGAAAGGCTGGGCCCACATTTAATCCCAGCTCTTGGGGGGCAGAGGTGGGGGAATCTCTGAGTTCAAGGTCAGTCTGCTCTACAAGAGTGAGTTCCAGGACAGCTGCAGTCACATGGTAAAACCCTGTCTCAAAAAAACCAAACAGAATAAAACATGGTGGAAGGACCCACGTGGGACGTGGGTCCTGCCTGGCTCTGTGGTTGGATTTGGCAGCATAGATTGAACTCAGAGTGAAGGATCCATTCCCAGGCTCATAAAGCCTTCCGTTTCCCACAACCTGACAATTATCTCTGCTGGAGAGAGCTGCTCACTCAACGCTGTGCCCTCTGGTGATGGGAGCCAATGCCACGCAATGGGTGGGCAGAGACTGCTCATTGCCCTGCTTCCCCACTCCCCCCATCTAGGGAGCACACATCAACATCACCATTTCCTCCGGGATCCCCGAAGCCCTCTAGCACCCTCAGCATGCTCCCTTGCCCTCCTCCCGGGATCTGCCATTCAGAGCTGAGGGCAAACAGGAGCCTTGCATGGCTCGGTGCTTGAAGGCAGGGAGAGCAGCAAGCAGGCTGCACGCCCTAGTGCCAGAAGGCCTTTATCCCTGTGAGTGTGGTGTATGCATATGTATGTGTTCCTGCGTGTGCAGGGGCAGTGCACACATCAGGCGTCTCCCGCCTCTGTGCTCTCCACCGCACTGCAAGCTTTTAATTAACGTCTTTCTGCTATCAGACCTCAGCATGTCAGTCCCTGACTGAAGTGGAACTCACTACGGGAACCAGGCTGATCTCAAACTCAGAGATCCCCCTGTCCCTGTCTCCCGAGTGCTGGGATTAAAGGTGTGTACACGTATACCTGGCTTTTATTTGTTTATTATTCATGCATGAATGCATTTACTGTGTATGCATGTGTGTGCATGTAAGTGCCACAGCACGTGTGAGGAGGTCAGAGGCCTGCAGAGGTCATTTGTCTTCCTCCATCATGTGGGTTTCGGGATCAATCTCAGGTAACGCTTGCTTACAGCCCCCGAGCCATCTCACCAATCCCCCTCCCCAACTGCATTGATTTTATTATTTTCTTCTTTTCTGCTTTTCCTGTGAGTGTTAGTATTCAGGCATCTCTACAGGCCTGTCCTTGGGGTTCTGACAGGATACACCGTCAGCTGCAGCCACTAAGAGCACCACCTGTTTACATTCACTATGTTCCCTTTTAAAAGGGTCCTGCCTACCTCCCATCTTCTGTTTCTCTCTCTCTCTCTCTCTCTCTCTCTCTCTCTCTCTCTCTCTCTCTCGATGCTCCTGTCCCTAGAGGTCGGCCCCTAGAGCCCTTTCCCTACTAAAAAGCCCTCTGTCTCATGGCATCTTTCTCTCGAGCATCACTTTTTAAAATTACAGCAGTTAGTGTGGTGTGCATACGTGTGCGTGGAAGTTCTTGCACTTGTGTGGGCACACATTTGTGCACAGATATGCGTGTTGTCAGAAACTTCCTCCATCATCATGCTTCCCCCTTACATGCTTCCCTCCTTGAACTTGGAGCTCATTGGTGGCTAATGAGCCTCCAGGATCTTCCCACCTTTGCTTCCCAGCTGAGATTGTTGGCCTGAACTTTTCAGGGCTGGAGTCCCAAGCTCAGGTCCTCTAGGCTTGAGCCTTACCCACGAGCCATCGCTCCATCCCTGGTTGACTCATTTAAAGTATTGACTAGCCAGTCCCAGTGGCTGCACATCTGAAAGGAAGATGGGGAGGTTGGGGCTATCTTGGGCTACGCAGTAAGCTTCCCTCATCAAAACAATGCTTTTGAAGACTGTGGTGCTGGCACATCCCTTTAATCCTGGCACTTGGGAGGCAGAAGCAGATGGATCTCTGAGATTGAGGCCAGCCTGATCTACAGAGCAAGTTCCAAGATAGCCAGGTTACATAGGGAAACTCTGTCTCAAAAAACAAAACAAAGTAAAAAATGTTTTTGGTGTGCATTACAACAGAGCACCTGTCTAAAATGCCCCAGTGAGGGGTCTGGGGCTGTGGTTCTCTGGTAGAGCCCTTGAATAAAATCCCCCAGTGAGGGGCTGGGAGTGTGGCTTAGTGGTAGAGCATCTGCCTAGAATCTATGTTAGGAGAGGCAAGACTCTGGGTTCCATTCTCACAACTCAAAAAAAAAAAAAAAAAGTTTCATTAATGAAGATCTTTCTCACGCGCCAACTGCCTCTTATTAACCTTTTATTAGCCAAGGCAGAAAGGTACAGTGATCACCTCGCCACATTATTCCCAGGGAGCGCTGAAATCTCGGGGTCTGAGGGGCTCGGATGAGGGGGGCTCATCCCACCAGGAATGCGCCCTAGACAGCAGTGCTCCCTCGCGAAGGCCTGGGGCAAAGTACCTCCTGCGTGAGCCTGGCTTTTTCCTTTTCGAAACAGCGCGACAGGCCAGGGCAGACTACAGTGGGCGAATCCCTGAATCTGGATCCAGATATTGTGAAGCCGATTGGAATCGAAAACAGTGGGTGAGGGGCGAACCCTGAGCCCCGTCACAGTTTGGTTTCCGCTGAATCCCTCTGCAGCATCTCCGAGATGCTCAGCCTGCCAGGGTCCCTCCTGGCGCAGGCGGGGTTAAGCGAGGGCAGAAGGGAGCGAATGATTTCAGAGAAACCGTCCAGGCTTCAGTTCCCATAAATGCGCGGGCCGCAGGGGGTGGGGCGGGGCTGGAGGAAGTGGGGACGGGAGGGGCGGCCCAGCCCTCGGACTTCCAGTAACAGGTCTGCGGGGCGGGGCTGGGCTTCCTGCTCCCGGGGGAGGGAAGCCTGGCCAGCTGGGGATGTACCCCGCCAGGCCCTGGCAACCCAACTTCCACTCTCCCAATGGGGGAGGAGAGAGACAGAGCCCTGAGTCCTCCAGGCTTGGGGTCCCTCTTGCATCTCACTGGGCTCAGCCTCAGCTGGCTACTGGTTTCCCTATCCTCGCTTCCACACCAGGGTCTTTTTTGGGCCTCAGAAATACACTGCCACAAATACACCCCCACCCCCAAATGGCCCACCTCTCTTCCCTGTTCCTTGAAGGACACAGGAAGATAATACTCCACTCTTTACCTCTTTCCAGGCCCTTAGGCAGGAAGCTTCACTAGCATAGGGGACCGCATTATTATAGCAGGGGACTAACCGAGGGCCATGACCCCTGAGCCCCTCCGCCAGCATGGCCTGCTATTCCGTTTTGAAATTCTTTTATTTTTTTTAAATGCATAGAACCACTATGGTTTTGTTTTGAGACAAGGTCTTGCCACCCTCCATGCGGCTGCGATTACAGGTATGCACACCACCGGCTGGAAAAAAAATTTTTTTTTTTTTTTTTCGAGACAGGATTTCTCTGTATTGCTTTGGAGCCTGTCCTGGAACTCGCTCTGTAGACCAGGCTGGCCTCGAACTCACAGATCCACCTGGCTCTGTCTCCCGAGTGCTGGGATTAAAGGCATGCGCCACCAACGCCAGGGACAGGCTGAAATCTTAATCTTCTAGAACAAACGACTGAAAACCCGTGTAGTTGGTCCTGTGTATGAGACCTGTGTAAGTGCCAGGTCCCCAAACAACGTCCCCCATCCTTATTCCCCTTGAAGATGGAGGAGTTCCCTTACCCCAGTTCCTGCCCTGAGACCTAAGGCAAGTCTCTTGCAGAGAGATTTGCAGTTCCTGACTTCTTTGGACCCCTGGTGGCCTTACTCTGTAGCCCAGGCTAACCTCAAGCTGGAGATGACCCTCCCTGAACTTGCTGGGGATATTAGGAATTTGAGCCACCATGCCGGCTTTTCCCCACGAGATTCTTGTTTCCTGAAAGGAGCCAAACCCAGCAGACGACAGGCCTTTGGTCCTCTAGGATTCAATCTTCGGGTCCCCAGGCCAGGCCTCCCTGTCCTGCCCTCCCCCAGCCTGTGTGAAGTGTGGCTGGTGGCGCAGGCAAGCTGGGGTTTGGCCTGCTGCCCATTCCGGTAAGTCTCGGCCCCAGCGGAAGGGGTTAAGGTTGGAGGGAGCGCCGGAGGGAGTGCAGGGTGCTGACGTGGGGGAGGCAGAGCAGCTGGGCTGCGGTCAAGTTCTGCGGGAAGGGATTTCCCCAGCCAGCAGCTGAGGCAGAAGTGTTTGCGTTGGGCCAGCGGGGGGGGGGGGGGGGGGGGGGGGGGGGGGCCTGGGAGAGGGGGAGGGGCTGTGACTGCAGACTGCGCCCTGCTACCAGACCACAGACAGCTAGCTCACCCCTGGGGACAGTTACAAATTAAACCTCTCTCCGCATTTGGCCCCCGGGCTGGGAAACAGCTCGAGTTTATTCTTTTATGGACCTCTGACACTTTCTCCTGCCTGAACTCACGTGGTAGCCTACGGCCTCCCCAGAACCGCTCTGTTCAAACATTACCTACTCAAGTACGGAGCGCTTACTGTTTGCCCAGCCCGGTTCTGTGTGTCCTTGTGTATACATCGTTGTGAAAGGCCTGGTTTCCAAACAAAGACCGAGGCTCCGGAACATCCAGCCAGCTATCGAGCCCTTCTCTGTACAAACAAGCCTATTGATCCCTTGCTGGGGATTCCAGACCCCAAATCAATTCCCACACGTGGGTTCCTTAGAAAAACCATTTCAGCCGAAGGATAATCCCACTATGTGGAAGGCTAAGGCAGGAGGATTACTGTGAGTTATAAGCTGGCCTCCATAGTGAATTCCAGGCCACCCACTTCCAGAGTGAGACCCTGTCTCAATTTAAACGAGAAATCTGGACATGGTGGTGCAGGTCTGGATCCCAGCACTGGGAGATGGGAGAAAGATCCATCTAGGCTAGGCGATGAGTTCCAGGCAAGCCTGGACTCCTTGCGACCTTGAGTTTATCTTTTCCAAAGGGGTGCATACTTGCAATTCCTGTTTTTACCGAGAGGGAGACTGAGGTGCAGAGGAGGGAGCAAGCCCACAGCTGAGAAGGAGGCCCAGCTTCATTGAACAACAGGAATCAATTGCAGGGGGCGGGGCGTTCATTACATGCTCCGCCCAGGTCTAAACCCTCCTGTGACCTAGCAGATACCCGAGAGATAAGTCAGAGGGTTGGGAAATCAGCTCAGTGGGCTATGGCTGTGAACCAATGATGTGGACTAGAATAGAAATGATCCAGGACTGGGAGGAGGCCAGGCTGCCGCCTCAAGTTCACGAACGTAAGAGTACACACACCCTGAAAGCTTGCTTGCACGATGGGCTCATCACACAGTAGCAGCAATGCTAAACAACATTCAATGGCTTCCGTGGTGTTGGGGGACAGAACCTGGGCCTCCTCTGTGGTAGACAAACAAGCACTCTCTTCCTACTGAGCTACATCCCCAAGCTTTCGGTTTGTTTTCTGTAGTCCAGGCTGGCTTTGAATTCGTGAATTCTCCAGAATTCTCTACCCTCAGCCTCCCCAGAACAAGATTTACAAAGTGTACATCACCACCCCCGAAGCTCCAGCCAAAGTTTACTGAGCACATGACATATAACACGCCAGACTCGAACCTCTCATGTGTGTGTAATACCTTCAGAAACTCAGCAGATAAAATACAGTTCCCAGAGCTGGGTGTGGTGGTGCACACCTTTGATCCCAGCGCTCAGGAGGTGGACGAAGGTCTGTCTATGTAAGTTTGAGGTGAGCCTGGGCTACAGAGCCAATTCCAGACCAGCTAGGTCTACACAGTGAAACCTAGATTAAAAAATGGTGTGGGGTCTGGAGAGATGGCTCAGTGGTTAAAAGCAATGGCTGCCTATAGATGTTCACAACTATCTGTAACTCCATTTCCAGGGTATCTGGGTCTTCTTCTTGCCTCCTCAGGCACCGGGCATGCACAGACATTCACACAGACAAAATACCTATGTATGTAAATAAAACTTAAAAAAAATGAAAACAAAGAAAGATGCATAGTTTCTCGTTTTTAGATTATGATAAAATTGAGAGGTTGGGGTTGTGGCTTCCTGTTAGAGCAAGAAAGGAACGTGCACGGGTTCAGTCTCCCACTCCCACAACAGCCCTACCTAGCCAATGAGTGCTCTTAAGTGACCATTTTCCATGGGAGGAAACCGAGGCTCAGACTCAGCGAGCCACAGAGGCAGATCCTGACCCCATGTTGTGGAGGGCTGGACTCCATGCTGTCACTTACGTGTCTCCATCCTCATCTGCGTGGGTGGCCAGGGCAATGTCAGCTGAAAGGGGGTGTTCCATGGGGTACATCCTGGAGTAGAGGTGTGTAGGCAGGTTCAGCAGCGGAAAGGGGGGTCCCACCGTCGGGGTAGGGTAAATGGGCATCAAAGGTCCTAGGCACAGCAGAAAGAACAGGATGACTCGGGTGAAGCCAAACCCACAGGCCGATGGCCAGGCTTTTTAATGTGTATAAAGATTTGTTCATTTTTAATCTTTCTGTGTGTGTGTGTGTGTGTGCACCCAAGTGTATTTATGTGCACCACATTTGGGCATGTGCCCATGGAAGCCAGTAGAGGGCGCCAGATCCCTTGAAACGAGAGGCCTTAAGTCCCCCCACAATGTGGGTGCCGAGATCTGAAGACAAGTCTACTCCAAGAACACTAAGTGCTCTCAACTGCCTAGCCATCTCTCCTGCCCCAAAGTCCCTTTTCTTTTAAAGATCTATCTCTAGTTATTACTTTCAAAAGTTGTATTATTTTTTAAAAATGTGTATGAATGTATTATGTATATTATGCACCTTTCAGGTTCTGGGCAAGAGCAGCAAGCGCTCCTAACCACTGAGCCATCTCTTTAGCCCCCACCCCTCTCTTGAAGCACTGTGTCACTGTGTTTTAGCCCAGACTGGCCTCAAACTCATGGAGATCCTCCTGCCTCAGCTTCCCAAGTGCTGGGATTACAGGTGCTCATCACCACGTTTAGCTATGCCAGGTTCAGTTAGTTCCTCAAACTCGGTCCTCCAGGCCCATGACAACGTTGTTGTTCCTGCCTTCCCCTCTTCCCCGAACTCCTGCAGCCTTTATTCCTCACCCCTAACCCCTATCCCTCATCCCCATTCCCTCCTATGATACTGTTTCCTCTCTCACAAATGTCTGGCCTCCATCCATCCACAGAAGCAGCCCTTAAGGGCAGAGAGAGAGAGCCTGTCACCACCCAGCAGGGGTACTCCAGTTACAAAGTTACACTGTAAGTTCACAGCTGAAGGGAGCAGCTGATAACTGGGTATGCATAAGCACACAGGGGGTCTGGGGAACCAGGACAGTCAGAAAACTTGGTCCCAGATCACTTTTAGATGGAACTGTTGGGAAGGACAATTGCAAAGCTGGGAAAACAGAAGCCAGGGATCTCATCAGGCCCAGGAGGGCCTCCTGTTAACGCAGCTTGATGCTGATGCCCTCCTGATGAAGCATGGTTGAGAGGCTAGAAGCTGAAGAAACTGAAGGCCCACAGAAACAGTTGTCAGCGGCTCTGGGGTATCTAGCAGAGAGTACGGTGGTTATTGCGGGGATGCCCCTTCCTTGATATAAAGATTGGGGAGAAGGGTACCTGGCTTCCTGCCATCTGAGCAGTTTTGGGGTTCCCTTTCTGCAATCCCTTTCCTTGGACCTAAGTCTTTCCGTTTCCAAATTCCTTAGCTGTGTTTCCCTTCTTAGAACCTTCTGTCCCCAAGCCTGCCCCAAGGGCCACCTGTCCTAAGACACTTGTGAGCACACACAACTGGCCGTGCAGAATGCTGGCTGTTTGCTGATTCCTCCAAACTTGCAATATCGGGGTGTTCGAGGCTCTACGAGTCATCATCGCTTAGACCCATGCTCCAAACACGGGGCTGGTCAGGACGCTAATGCCTTTCTCTCAACCTCTATGCCCCCTGAAATCTTGGTTCTCAAGACCCCTGATCTGTTTCTATGCCCCTCCATATCTGCATACCAGAACCCCAGGTTCCAAGGCCCCGGTGACAATTCTTCATAGTTCTTAACATCTGAAATTCTGCATCTCTGAAATGCCATGGGTCCCCATATCTGCGCCACCGGACACTTCCACCCAGGCCATTTGACCCTTGGGCACCCCTCTGACCTCCAGCTCTTGGTACCCTCATGGCTGAGCCCCAGGGCTTTGCAACCTGTTTCCTAACTATTTCGGGGACGCTAGCTTCCATCCCAGAGTCCCAGCTACCAGGAACCCCATCTATTTGTGTCTTATGCTCTGCTGACCTCAGGTGGCCCCCACCCGGCCCTGGCCCTCGCGGGGGAGGCTACTCACCCTGGTAGTAAATCGCCTCCGGCCTGGCCACGCCGTGGGGGGGCCCAGGGACAGCTGGGACGTCGCAGCTGCTGCGCAGGGGGTCCAGGGGTCCTGCGGGGGCGCGCGGGGCTGCAGGCTCCGGGGACGCTGGGCGCAGCGGGCGTTTGCGGAGTGGCAGCGCGGCGCCCAGGGCGCCCTTGGGCCGGGTGCGCAGGTCCACGGGCCCCTCGTCCATGGCCCCCGCGGGGCATCGGGGCATCGGGCCGCCCGGAGACGCCGGGGCGAGCGGCAAGCTCGGCAGGCACGGGAAGGCGGTCTCGCCAGGCTGCGGGACTTCCCCTGCTGCTGACTGAACTGAAGGGACTTTTGTCAGCCGGGGCGGCGCCCGCCTCCCGCCTCCCCGCCCCCGGGCCCCCAGGGCCACCCGTCCGCCCCAGGGGTTTCCTGGACCCGCGTCTCGGAGGCGGAGCCGGCGCTCCTGGTCCCCACCCGCCGCTCTGCTCAGCGTGCCTCTCTGGCCCGGAGCTTTGGTCCCAGAGACACTCTCTCTTTCTCTCTGTCTCTCTCTGTCTCTCTCTCTCTCTCTCTGTCTCTCTCTCTCTCTGTCTCTCTCTGTCCCTCTCTCTCTCTCTGTGTGTGTGTGTGTGTGTCCTCCCTGTCACTGTCTCTCTCCCTCCTCGCTTTTCTTAGACTGAAGCTCATGTAGCCCAGGCTAGCCTCGGCCTGGCTATGTAACAGAGCAGAGGGTTCTCTTGACCTTCTGATTCCACCGCGAGTGCTGGGAAGACACCTGTTCCGCTGGGCCGTGGGTTTTCTCTCTCTCTTTTTTTTGGATCAGGATCAGGGATCAGGTAGCCCAGGCTAGCCTTGAATTTACTATGGAGCAGAGGATGACCTTGAACTCCCATTCCTCCTGTCTTCCCTCCCCAAACCTGAGGCTGTGGACCATCATTATCAGGCGCGTTTTTCTGTTGTTTGAGCAGGGGCCTCTTACATGCCAGCGATCCAAGCGTCTCAGCCGGCTCTGTGGTCCCTGTCTCTGAATCTCATGGCTGTGTCTGGCTATCAGAGTCTACATTTGTGAGCAGCCTCCCCTCTTTGACCCTAGTACCACAGCACCATCTTTCCTTTAGTGTTTCTGAGTTTGTTTTAGCCACCTCCCCCTGTCCCAACCCTGCAATTCTTGGAGGCCACAGGGATCCTAGGACACAGGTTCGAATCCTGATTCCTATTTCTTCTTGGGTGACCTTGGCCATGCACCCCCCCCAGTTGTTTCCCTTCTTCTTCTTCTTCTTCTTCTTCTTCTTCTTCTTCTTCTTCTTCTTCTTCTTCTTCTTCTCCCCCACCCCCCTTTCTGCAATACAGGCACTTGTGCATAGCAAGCAATTGTCCCGGCACAGAGCTATTATGGGCCCAACCTTCTCTTTGCTTTCCAAGCTTTCTTTCTAAGCTGCCTAAGCTGACCTTGAGTTTGCTCAGTAGCCCAGGACGCCTTTAAACTTGGAATCTTCCTGCCTGCTTCTTGAGGAGGTGGGGATGGCAGGGTGAGAATGAAAGCCCAGCCCAGGGTAGGGACTGGCTTTGGGCTGGTGCCCAGGAACTAGCCGCTCTCTGCCTTCCTTGTGCCTCCTGGCTTGCAGGGCACGAGGGTGGACGGGTGTGTGTGCAGGAGAGCTTCAAATGTGTCTCCTGCTGGGTCCCTGCACCCAGCCAGAGGCCTCAGAGGAGAAGTTAGCGCGATGAGTCCAGATACAGAGGCAAGAGACCTGCAGACAGGATGGCCACAGTTAAAGAGGTTGGGCCAGCAGGAGGCAGTTAGGGCTCAAGGCCCAGCACTGTGGGGCTTGGGGGTGCAGGCTGACTTCCTCAGCTGCCCCCACTTCCCTTCCCACCCCGAGGAGGGGCTGACGGCTGGGGAACAGGCCGGGCTGGTTGGGGCCCTGACTCAAAGGCGCAGGAGCCGGGGAGGCGGGGCAGAGGCTCAGCCTCCTCGGGGTCCGCCCCGGGGCGGGGCCGCAGCTCGGGGCTTTCCCGGACATCCCTGGAGGTGGAGCGGCCGCTGGGGTTGAGTCCAGGTCACTGAGTCACAGGGAGGCGGATGGGGGAAGGCTGTTGGAGACTTAGGGAGGCAGGGGACTGGGCCCTGCGTTGCAAACCCGCCCAGAGGACTCTCGGGGTCCCCTGGTTCTCTCTCCGGATGTCCCCTGTCCTGTTCCCGGACTCCGTTTTTCCAGACTGGGTCTCTGTAGCCCAGGCTGGCCGCGGACTGGGGCATTCCTCGGGCCTGGGCCTCCAGAGTGCTGAGATTCCAGGTGTGCGCCACCATCTCCATTTTTTCTGTCCTTTTTTGTCTCTGCCCTCCGTGGTCCTGGGACCATGAACGTGGGTGTGGAGCCTGTGAAGGGACTTTGGCCGGCTGGGGCCCCACCCGAGTGGATGGTTAACCTGGTCTGTGGGATTCGAGGTGGCAGGGGACCTGCCTCTTCCTACTGCTTTTGTCTCTCTCTGCCTGCCCCTCCCCGCCCACCCCACAATGTGCCCGTAAGGTGAGTCGGGAGAGAAGACCAGACCTGAATTCAAAGGTCACTTCCAAACCACCAGGGGAATTGCGTTTGCCCATAATTCGAGGTATTCAGGAGCTGAGGCAAAAGGATAGAAGGGTTTGGGTTAGCCTGGGCTACAGAGTGAGTTGAAGGCCAGCCTGGGCAACCAACGAAATGACCCAATAAATCAAAAACAAAAGTGCAAGCTGGGTGTGCTGCGGAGGGGTCAAAGGCCAGCCTTAGCTACCTACAGAGAAGGTGTGAGGCTAGCCTGGGCTACATGATCCCCAAAATGAACCAATGGCCAGTGAGATGCCTTATCAGATAACGGTGCTAGCCACCAAGCCGAACGATTTGAGTTCAGTGTTCAGAACCCCCGTGGTTGAAGGAGACAGCTGATCCTACAGGTTCCCCTTCAACCTCCACACACGCCCTGCCTTGTGTGCACACACAATACAGGTGAATTAAGTAAACGTGGCATATGTGATAGCAACAGTGCGGGTTAGAGCTCTTTCCTGGCTCCGCCCAGGCCCCTGGGCTCCTGTCCCCAACGACCTCCCAGTGTTCTCTGGACAGCGAGGCAATGCCACCTCTGCCTGCCAGCAAGGGGGTGAGGGCGGGGTGGGGTGGGGACGAGGCTGTAAGGAATCACCTTGGGCAGGCTGGGGGCTGATCTAGCCCATTCCTCTGGGTCTCCAAAACCCAAGAGAAAGCAAGGGAGCTCTGGCCACTATTTGGAAGCCCGTGGCAGGGCTGGGGGGGGGTGGCGGCGGCTTGGGACAGGAAGGTGGCTTGTCCATCACAGGACTGGAGCAGGTGGCACAAACCCTGTGTGCCAGGCTCAGGGGTGCCACAGGGTGCTGGGAGAGGCCGTGTTTGTGAAGACGGGGGAAGGGCAACAGGGTCTGGGGAGAAGGATCTGAGGGGGGAGGGGAGGGTCTGAGGGGGGAGGGGAGGGTCTGAGGGGGGGAGGTGAGGGTCTGAGGGGGGAGGGGAGGGTCTGAGGGGGCAGGGGAGGGTCTGAGGGGGCAGGGGAGGGTCTGAGGGGGGAGGGGAGGGTCTGAGGGGGCAGGGGAGGGTCTGAGGGGGAAGGTGAGGGTCTGAGGGAGGAGGTGAGAATGTGTTTGGAAGGTTTCCACAGTGGAGGTCAGTTCTGAGGGAGATCAGAGGGTCTAAAGGTTGAAGCATGTTGTAAGGAAGAAGGCCTTTGTGTGTTTACAAATCTCGTGTTCACGCTTACTAAGTTACCGTGTGTGCCCACAGGGCACAGGTACAGAGCGAGGGATGACCTGCAGAAGTCTCTTCTCTCCTCCCACCGTTGGGTCCTCAGACTTGGCAGCAAGCCCCTTTACACACTGAGCCCTCTTACTGGCTCAAAGGAGCAGTTTTTGGGGCCCACCATTGGGGGAAGGGGGAGGTACTGTGCCTGGGGACCCGGTGGGGACAGACGGGAGGGGAAGGGAGGGCAGCCTGGAATGAGCCCCACCCTGAAGTTGTCTCTGATTTCCCAGAATGTTCAGCTGCTTAGGAAAGTCCCAGCTCCCACAGCAGCCTCCCCTTCAGTGTCGGGAATGGAGGATGTGGAACCAGGATGGCCACCCCCTGTTTCCCCCCTGGCTTTTCGAACCCCAGGCGGGGAGGACTAGGGTCTCTCCTCTAAGACTACAGCTTTGGAGGGCCCCACCCACGGGCAGGGGCGGCCCCTGGATGAGTCCCAAAAACTTCCCAGAGAAGACTGGGAAGTCCTGCTCACTGTCTAACCACTTTCCCTCATACCAACAGCTTTTTGTCTGTTTGAATCTTTCTTCCTCTCTCCTGCTTCATCCCTAATTTCTCCTGGGGAAGAGGGACCCCCTCCCCCAGGGAGAATTAAAGGGGACCTGGGCCTTGATCTCCTCCCGGAGGGGGAGGCAGAGTGGGTTACACCCTGGCTCTCTCTCATCCACCTCAGTTTCTCAGCTTTGTCCTGCTTTGTCTCTGAGGTCTGAGTGCGAATCCTCCCAACTGCACTTTAGTCTGTGACTCCCAGAGCTGACCTGACTCAGCCTTGGCCCTCCCATTTGCTGAGTGGACCAGTTCAAGAAACCCCCCACACACACAGCTTAAAAAATGTGTGCACATTCGGTGTTTATGAGCGTGTGCGGAGGCCACCCCAGCTGCTGCTCCTCAGGGTTGGTGTCATCCACCTTTTTTCTTTTTCTTTTGACAGTCTCTCGCTGGCCTGTGACCCTCTGATTGGGCTGGATTAGCAGAGCAGAGGCCACTGAGCATCAGGGATGTGCTTGTCCGTGCTTCCAATTGTGGGAATTACAGGAGGTGCCACACCACCCCGAGTGTTCTTAATGTGGTTTGGTTTTGTTTTGTTTTGAAATTGAATTCGGGTCCTGTGCTTGGCAGAGCAAACACTTTACTCTGTGTAGCCCTGGCAGCCCTACAGAACTCTCTCTGTAGACCAAGCTGGCCTCAAACTCACAGAGATCCACCTGCCTCTGCCTCCTGAGTGCTGGGATTACAGGCCTGTGCCACCACCGCCCGGCTACTTTCCTTTTAAATCTTAGTTTATAGATGTATTTGTTTTGTGTTTATGTGTATGAATGCTTTGCCTACGTGTGTGTCTGTGCACCACGTACACATCTGGTGCCTGTGGAGGTCAGAAGAGGACATCAGATCCTCTGGAGCTGGAGTGACGGATGGTTGTGATCTGCCATGTGGGTGCTGGGAACTGAACCCAGATTCTTCGCAAGAGCAGTCTGAGCTCTTAACTGCTAGCCATCCCTCCTGCCCCTGTGCTGTTTTTCTGACGTAAGTTGTCATGCAGTTGCAGCTGGGACTCACCATGTAGTCCAGGATGGACCCAAACTGTGCCTCAGTTTTCTAAGTGTGTGTTG